CATCCGGTTGTCCTACTGACCGGCTACGTCATCTTATCTTTTGATAGTAACAAGTAAACGTCAAACTGTAAAGCTGTTGTTTATTTTATTAGAGTTAGATAGTCCCCACAATTATATGTATATATAATTATAATGAAATGATATGGAACGCTAAAACTGTCTTGTTATGTCCATTTTCATTATATGATGTGCATTTATCATTATATGATGTGATTTTATCTTTATATGATTTGCACTTGTCTTCATATGATTTGCACTTGTCTTCAGATGATGTGCAAACACCTTTATATGGTATCCAATCCAGTTGACACTATATGATGTGCAAATATCATTATATGATTTGCAACTATACCTATGTGATGTGCAAAGATCCTTATACGATGTGCAAACATATTTATATGATGTGCAAATATACTTATATGATGTGCAACTATACCTATGTGATGTGCAAAGATCCTTATACGATGTGCAAACATATTTATATGATGTGCAAATATACTTATATGATGTGCAAATGTACTTATATTATGTATAAAGATCCTTATATGATGTGCAAATATACTTATATGATGTGCAAATATCCTTATATGATGTGCATTTTCCCTTTTATTATGTTCAAACACCTTTATATGATGTGGTTGTGTCATTATATTATGTGCTTGTAACATTATATGATGTGGGTCGCTTAACTTCATTATGTGATGTCAAAACGTCCTTATATGATGTGCTTTCACCGTTGTTATGGTCAATAAACATGATTTCGATTAGAACGATATTTGTCTACGTCATAACTGATTCCGATTTGCTTCTCCGAAATTACTATGAACCCGGCTCAAATCTGTAGCAATCGTTTGAAAATGGATGAGATTTTAAAAGCCTTAAACCTGAGCACGTTGGGAACTCGTTTTAAAGATGAAAACTCACACCTGGTTTAATCGATGGGTCTACAATAATGAACATACAGTTGAAGTGGTTGAATTATGGGTCCTCGACTGTGTACTGAGAGCCCGGAGTTTAAATATTTGAGGGGCCTTGGTGGCCGAGTGGTCTAAGTAGTCCAACTACTGTATCACTGGCCAGTCAACACTGAGGTTGTGAGTTCGAATCCCGCACGGGCAGGTGCACTCGACTCTAATCTTAGTTGACTGGGATTGTCAGTTTTCCTACCGAAGGTCGGTGGTTCTCTCCGAGCACTCCGGCTTCCTCCACCAATAAAAACTGACCGCCTCGAAATAACACAAGTGTTGAAAGTGGTGTTAAATACCAATCAATCAATCAATCAATCAATCAATCAATCAAATATTTGATCTACCAGAGGATATTCTGCATTTTTTTTAATGCTAGTTTACTGTTTCTGATATAGCATCTCCAGCCTCGTTTCAGCTTCCGAAAGCGCAATTTATGGAAAAAAGTCAGACAGTGCATTTTTTAAAAACAAAAATTAACGTTTCAAACATTTCGGGGGAAGATTTATATCCATAAATACAGGATCTAGTTGAAGAAATTCTTTGCTGTGGCGAAACTATGATAAAACAATTTAAGTGCAAAAGCAGCTATACCGTTATTATTTATTCCCTCTTTTGAAGTATTTCATAACAATAGCCATAAAATTTTCTACTCATGTATAATTATACCAGTATGGATGAAAGAAGACATTAGATGAACTTCAAATCGGTGCATAATAGTTACACACAGCTTTTTATTACGTTTGCGCGCAACACAAAAGATTTCGGGGGAAACCGCTCATATATCCACCTCTAGACTCAAGGCATCGAACTGTAAACAGGGCTAAGGTACCAATCATTCATCATTTTTTGGGGGCCGTGTCTTTTTTCTAAATATTTGATTCCAAATTTCTTGAAAAAAAAAATTATTTGTTTCAGAAGGGAAGCAAAAAATAAAATTAGTTTGTTTCCATTGAAAATGTCTTTCCTATTTAGAGGCAGTTACTTCTATAAGAAGTTGATTCACATATTTCAAGTATATTCTTTTTTTTGTAAATTGTGCCTTGGTGATCATTTTAGCTTTTAAAGTTTCTCTTTGTCTGTTACTTTCCTCAAGATATTAGTAAAAAAAGACGCAAACATGGACAAAAGTCGGACATTATAAGGGCGATAAGTCCGGTAACGGATCGGTAATTTGTATTCTGAAAGTTAGGATGAGAGGGAATTAAGGGGGGCCTTGAAAATGTTTTGGAATGAAAGGTAGGGTATCCAGTTTTAACATCCTCAATTCTCAATCTTTAATAATTACGAAACCCTGTTGGTCTTGAGATGTAAAGTCCGGCGCTGGAGATGTAAAGGAAATACATCTCAAGCACTTGACTTTAAATCTACAGCGCTAGATTTTACATCTCAAGCGCTTTACTTAAAAAAAAACTCTTATCTGTATGAGATCAACAGGGCTCCGTAACTTTAGATTATTTTTTAAATTTCATTATTGTTTTATTTTCTCCCTTTTTTCAATGTAAACAAAACTAGGTTTTTTGCTTCCCATTTAATGAATAATGTCTTTTTCAAGACATTTGGAATCAAACAATTTAAAAAATGCATGCCCCTACCCCCTCCCCGCCCCAAAAAAGAAGAAGATGAACGGTCGGTTCCTAAACCCTTTTTACAGTTCGGTGCCTTGAGCCTGGGTGCGTATGAGCGACTTCCCACGAAATTAAAGTTCCAAAGACCTCTGGATGTTTGATGAAGATCCTTTCAGGTTGTGGGTGGCTGTTTAGTTGAAACTGTAATAAAAGTGTTAGCAAACGTAATAAAAAACTGCGCGCAAACGTAATGATTTTTACGCTCAAATGTAATGCTCCGAGTTGAAGTTCATCCCATGTCTCCTTTCATCCATTATGCATGCGTAGACCATTATGGCTAATGTTATAAGATATTTCAAATCAAAAATGACTGCGATTTTAATTGGTATAGGAAATGAATTAAAATAAAGTGACCATTCAAAATGAGGGAATAAATATAACCGTATAGCTCTTTTGCACTAAAAGTTGTTTTATCCAAATTTTCGCCACAGCGGAGAAATTCTTCGACTATATCTCCTGTATAAATGGATCTAAATCTTCCTCTGAAGTTTTTGAAACGTCGATTTTTGTTATAGAAGAGGGACGAAAGATACCAGAGGGACAGTCAAACTCATAGATCGAAAACAAACTGACAAAGCCATGGCCTAAAATAAAAAGACAAACAGACAAATAATAGTACAGATGACACAAAATAGAAAACTAAAGACTAAGCAACACGAACCCCACCAAAAACTGGGGGTGATCTCAGATGCTCCGGAAGGGTTAGCAGATCCTGCTCCACATGTGGCACCCGTCGTGTTGCTTATGTTATTACAAATCCGGTAAATAGTCTAATTCGGTAAGTCACATTCGTGAAAAGGGAAGGATATTGTAGTTACGACATAAGGAACATATCCGATATCATCTGTGAAACGGTTATTCCATAACGGTCAATCAACTCGTGATGGCGTCCGTAAAATTTACGAAGGGATGATTTCAACTTCACCATTTGGAACTCTTGGCTTAATAGCTTCCTTGTGAGCAGCAATCCTCTATCAAGGAAATCATGATAGGAAACACAAGCCCGGGAATATCGTATCAATTGTGAGATATATACTCCGTATGCAGGCGCTGCTGCATTGAAATACATTGTCTCATTTTTTTCTATAAATTGCACTTTCGGAAGCTGATACGAGGCTGGAGCTGCTATATCAAAAACTGTAAATTGACATTAAAAAAAAATCGCATAATATCCTCTGGTAGATCAAATATTTGAACTCAGGGTGCTCAGTACACAGTCGAGGACTCATAAATTAATCACTCTAACCGTATTTTATTATTGTATACCCATCGATTAAACCTAAACTTTGCAATTCTTATTTTGACAATTTTCAAACAATATCAGGTGTGATTTTTGATCTTTAAATCGAGATACCAACGTGCGAATGTAAAACGCTTTTAAAATCTAATCCATTTTTCAAGCGATAGCTACAGATGTGAGCTGGGTTCATAGTCATTCCGGAGAAGCAGATCGGAATCAGTTATGACGTAGACAGTAATCGTTTTAATCGTAATCATGTTTATTGACCATAACAACGATGAAAGCACATCATATAAGGATGTTTTGACATCACATAATGAAGTGAACCGAACCACATCATATAATGTAACAAGCACATAATATAATGACACAACCACATCATAAAAAGATGTTTGCACATAGTATAAGGGAGAATGCACATCATATTAGGATATTTGCACATCATATAAGTATATTTTCACATCATATAAGTATATTTGCACATTATATAAGGATCTTTGCACACCATATAGATATATTTGCACATCATATAAATACATTTGCACATCATACAAGTATTGTGTACATCATTTAAGGATATTTGCACATCATAAAAGGATCTTTGCACATCATAGGAGTATATTTGTACATCATATAAGTATATTTGCACATCATAAAATTATACTTACACATCATATAAGTATGTTTGCACACCATATAAAGGTAAAATCACATCATATAATGACAAATGTACATCATATAATGAAAATGGACATACCAAGACAGTTTTGGCCTTCCATAAAATGAAATTACTATCACTTTCACTATCATAATAGAAATTACTCATGTGTTAGACCATATTCTTCACAAAGATTTTCTTTCTCTATAGTTTCAGTTAAAACAAAATATGATCCAAAGCTTATGACATTTCACACACTAAAGCTAATAGACATGCAGCAGGTCAAAGATTTAAAAAAAAACGGACTAAACAGAGCACATGGAATAGCGATAACATGAAATTCTTACAATACTGACATTTGTTTCAACAGTCTTTTCTTAAATTTCGACAAAATCCTTTTACTTATAAAAATACCAAATATTGAATACATAATCATATTGCTATTACAATCAATAGGGTATGAAGATTGTACGTAATAATTTGTGTACTTGTAATTTCTTTTCATATAGATTCTAAATGGCCTCCATGACAAATCATCTTTGTGGTATTTGCCAGAGTTTATCAAAAGCGACTCCTGCCTCGAAATGGTGCAATGACTGTGACGAAGCATTATGCATAAACTGCAATATACACCATGCCGTTGCTAAAGCTACTAAAAAGCACATAGTAGCTGATATTGAGATACCAAAATTTGTTTTGAATCTTGATCAGAAATCAAAATGTAGCGTTCATAAAATTCCGTATGAACTTTTCTGTGGAACCCACGAATCTCCATGTTGCATTAATTGTTTAAAAACAAATCACAAAACATGCACGGGATTTGAATCCATTGACGAACGTGTCAAAAGAGAATTTCCAGCCATAGGAAATTTGTTGGATGATCTAATTGAACGGCTAAAGACTATTGAAACGTTTTATGAAAATCTTTACGAGGAAAAAGAAATAGATATGAATGAAATTAAAAATAGTTATAAAAAGTATGTGAAAGATATTAAAAAAGTTAGGAATGAGGTGAATAAAGTTCTGGAAGAACTTGAAAATGATCTTCTTAACAAACTTGACGCAATTACTAGCACACATGAAACATCGATTAAACAATTATGTCTTGAGATTCAATCAAACAAGAAGAAGACAGAAGAATTATTGCAGGGAGTTTTGACACTTAAAAACCATGGGTTAAATACACATGCCTTTATTGGAAAAAATGAAATACAAGAAAAAGTTAGTAACGAAGTAACCAATGTAGAAGACTTCATAAAAAAGAAGAAATTAAACCGTCATAAAATTATTCTTACAATTGATAAAAAGGTGCAGGAGATAACATCAGATCTTCAGGTATTTGGTGAAATAAAACATAGTGTTTTACCAAGTGCAGTAACTTGTCTAGTAGAGAAACAAGCACAAAGGCCAGTATTTGACAGACAGAAATTGATATTGAAAAAAGAACTAACGGTGCCGTACGAAAAGTCACAAAACGTTGAAGGGTGTGCCATTTTACCAAATGGCAAATTTGTATGCTTGTATATTCCTCATTATGCATCTACTGACAAAGAAGCAAACGAAGGTGAACTTGTTCTTTTCAATAACAATGGTTCAATTAACTGTTCAATCCCAGTCTCCTCTTGGTGCTTTGATGTTGCATGTATTACCGACAAGAGAGTAGCAGTTACATCTACTAAACATCCACAAATAATCATCGTGTCCTTAGAGTACAAAAGGGTACAAAAAACAATACCTACTGAAAATATATGCTACGGTATTACCTACTTCAAACAAAGATTATACAGTTACGGGAACAATGAAATTCAGATTCGGAGTTTATATAAAGACGACATGAAAAGTGTAAATGTACAAAAACATAGGTCAACAGGTCTCGGTGACTATGGTTTTATAGCGGTAGGCGAAAATAGAATATATCTTACAAGAGGTCTTGATACCATATCGTGTTATAATACTACAGGGGCACTTCTTTGGGAGTGGACGAACCAGAATCTAAAATTTGTCCGTGGTATCACGCTTGACAACAATGCCAACTTACTTGCTATAGGTAGAGATTCGAATAGTATTGTTGTTTTATCTCCAGATGGAAAACAATTATGCGAGACACTTGAACCCGAGAACATGGCCTACCCAAAGGCAATAGATTTTGACCAGATGGATCAAAAACTACTGATTTGTGATGAGAAAGGAGGGGCTAAATTGTTTTCAATTAAGTATAAACAGTAACACAGAACAAGAATATAGAAATTAACATTATCATCAGTTACAGTACGTTATTGTAGTTTTCATCATACTATTTTTGACTGTCTGTATGTGATCTGTATGTCAAAAACATAGCTCTAACATAACGCCCACCAAAGTTTGGTCACTGTCGATCTTTCCACTTCCTTGTTACAATAAATCCTACTGTTTAGCTCATCTGGCCCATAGTGCCAGTGTAACATTTTGTCATCACTTGGTGTCCGTCCTCTGTCGTCGTCCATTAAATGTTACAAAGATCATCTACTCTGATGAAAGTACTGGGCCACATTTAACCTAACTTGGCCACATTCATCATTCAGATACCTAGTTTAAAAAATGTGTCCGTTGACCCCGTCTGCCAACCAACATGGTCGACATGGCTTACATTAGAACATAAGGGTAAAATGCAAGTTTCTTTGTTTTATCTTGAAATCCACTCTAGAAAGAGAAAGAGAAAATCTGACAGAGGCAAATTAAATTACCATTAAATTTTACTTTTTAGCACTTTATCGTGAAATTTATACGGTCGGTATATCGGTACTGACATGATTTATAACAAACCTTTCTAAAATTGTCCGTTTATAAATTTTGAAATTATAAAGAAACTCCCTCTGGCAAAGTTGACCTTCGATGGATTTGGCTATCATTTAGGTCTTTTTTGGTTATATAGCTCTTCAACTTGGTTTGGTTCTTATACATCCTTGGCTTTAAAATATTCGGCTGTGAGCGTTCCTGATGAAAGAAAATCCAGAAAAGCGCGTCGGACGCATGAAATCAATAACGTGTTGTTTTCATTTTTTATAATAGATACGATATAAACTTATTGTTGCAAAAATGATCAGCAAGACATGATCTACAAATAAGTCAAATGGCTGAAATCGTCATTCTGTTCCTTCTTGGAGTAATTGATCTTTAATGGCGATATGTACGATTTTTTGCGTTTTTGTCTATTGTCTAGAAAACTATAACACGTAGTTAGAAACTTTTGAAAGCACAAATGATCAGTAAGACACTATCTTCAAATAAGTCAATTGCGGAAATCGTCAGTTGACTTTTGAAAGGAGTCATTGCCCTTAAATGACATTTTTTTCAATTTTTTTTCCGCTTTTGACTATAATCTTGAAAACTATATTTCGTCGTTTGAGTCCTATAGTGTTATATGTCCACTTTTGATAAAAATTGAGATAGCTAAATATTTGATATCCAGGTGCAATGGCCTTTCTCCCTATATATCTGTTATACGATATTTCTACATTCTAAGAGTTTTTGTCAGAACTATACTGTTCTATCTCCACACTCCGATTGAATTGTAATAGCTTATTCATCAAGTTTGACACCGGAAGTTCAGAGAAAAATAGTTTTATAGTGTTGTATCTTCACCTTTTTTCAAGTATTTTTACTGTAAAATATTTGTTATTACAATAATCTTAGTAGTACTATCATACTTACATTGTTTGCATGGTTTGAACTCAATCTATGATAAATTCTTAGCAAAATATGCATACCCGAATTGGGGATATTTCACAATTGAAAAATCAATGATCTATCACCAATAGAAATATAGGGATTAATTTCTAAAACAACATTGTTTATTGTAAAGGGTTCTATCTCCAAAAAAAGGAAGTGCTTTATTTATTTAAGGTGCTTATCTATTCAAGAGACAATTGAACAAAGAGTTACTCTTCATGTCCGTAAATTCAACTCCTTTATAACTTTTTATATCTCTGTCAAATATTTATGATATCGCGTTTTTAAACTTCATGTTTAATTTCCCAACACTTAGAAAATGGAACTTACAACATTATAACACTTACACGACGCCATACAAACTTTTTAAAGGCTAACACGAATAGCAAGACAAGGTCTACAAGTAAGTCAAATTGCGGAATTCCTCAGTTGACTCTTTATATGAGTTATCAGCCTTAAATGTTGATTTTTACCTTTTTTTCCGATTTTGCCTATTATCTTGTAAAAAAATAGATTTATAGAAACTTTACAAAAGCGAAAATTATCAGCAAGGCAAGATCTACAAATAGGTAAGCTAACATGTAGATAAATGTGTCATTTGTCTCCTTATTGAAGTAATTGCCCTTTAATTACAATTTTAACATTTTTTTGTGTTTTGGGCAAAAACTATAGAAGATAGAGAGAAACTGTAACCAGAAAAAGTGATCAGAAATATATGGTCAACAAAAAAGATATTTAAGTCATGAATATTATGCTAGTCTAAAATGTTGGAGAGTGTCCATTGATGAGGATGCACATAGACCTTAGTGTGCGACACAGGCTCTTTAGAGCTTCTAGTTTGGTTTATAGATCTCTTTCAGTGAAAAAAAATGTTTTGGATATTTAAACTTTAGCAAGAACTTTCTGAAGAACATTAATCTTAATATGTTCTGTTAATTGGCAGATGGATAATTTTGAATTTTTTTGTTATGTTACTTGATAAGCTTGTATACCAATGCTTTACAAATGATATCTGTTCATTCCATGCTGTATAGATTTGAAAATAAAAGTAGGATATGATGTATGAATTCATAACACAAAATCATCCATGCACTCGAAAAAGCAAATAGACAGTAATTAGCTAGTAACACTTTTGTTCATCTTAAAAACACAGTTACGCCTTCAACACGGTTCACATCAAGAGATATGTTTGGCTTTATCTTAAAGACACAGTTACGGCTTCAATATGGGTCACATCAAGAGATATGTTCGACTTCATCTTAAAGACTCAGTTACGGCTTCAACATGGGTCACATCAAGAGATATGTTCGACGTTATCGATAAAATCCCACAACACAAGCATCAGTTTTCTTAAGATAGTTGGACGTTTTCAATACTAAAAATAATTCGTATTATTTTCTCCCATCCATTGAGTTTCACTCATCATCTGTCCTTTTACTCTAAGTTTAAGGATGCAGTCTTATCAGCCTATTTCTGTCGCCGGGAAGAAAACAAAATAAACGTCGTTCTTACAATTCTTTAATTGGAACGATAATTTAATTTGATTTAATAAGATGATAGAAGTGGAAAAAAGTTCAGAAAATGAAAAAAATGATTACGCAGCTGTCACACTGTCCCCAAATTGACACAAGATGGCTAAACGAAGATGATTTTTTTTTATTTCGCGAGATGATGGCCCTTAACTTTGTCAACATCCGATCAACAGCCGAAGCAAGTACGATGCCCGCAGAATGTCACAAAATTGACACACGAATTCCACACACAAAAATGAACCTTCGCAATCTCTTTCGGTAATTTTTTAGAATGCCAAAGATTTTTCTACCGATCACGAAAACTTGCACCGAACTGACCGAACCTGAAAAAAACTGAGAAACTGAATATTTCCTTTATCGTATGTCCATCTTGTATCATTGTTGGGACAGTGTGACGCAGGCATTAAGGTCATCATTGATAAATTTCTTCTTTTCTATTTGGTTTACCGGCAATTTTTTTGATATTGTGATCAAGTTGTTTAATTGAACATCGTCCTTCGCTGAATCTACTAATACATTCTGTCTTATACTGCTCGATTTAATGTAACCATGTAATGTTTGAAAACGGGCAGATCGAGACACGTTTACCTGCCGCTGTGATGATACGTAAATCTGCTACCTAATTCACTATGCTACTGATACCCTTCAGGAATTTGTAAGTTTGATAGCAAGACTTTACGTACTCGACATGCCTTTGTTAGATGAAGATATGTTTGTGTTGTCCGGAAAATAATAGTGAAAAATAACTAGTACTATCTGTAAAATATTAATACGACGCCTTAAGATGGGAGCCAACATCTTATTTATCATAATTTGATGTCAATAGTCAATTTTAAAAATTGCTCACACGTACTTGTCTCTAACAAATGTACATATATACCGTTAATTTTTAAAGGTATGTAGAGTATTTTCTCAAAAACAAGTGCCTGTGAAATTAAGATAAAATCAATAAGTAGTATATACAATGTAAAACATAACTAAATGAATAGAAAACGGTTTTAGGACATGGAAGATGTGTCAATGATAACTATACAATCGAAAATTTAACTATACCAGACAAAAACCCTTTCGGTGCGGATAACGGACGGACGCCGAGGGGGGAGGCGGATCTTTAACACATCTAATTACATTTGCTATGTATATTTTGAGACCACCCCTTCTTTTGACACTCTTTATTTCAAGTATTAAATATTGTACCTTAAATACCCATATGTGCACACAAATTTGTCACGGGGATGATTAATGTGGAAACTGAAATTTCTTTTGAAAAGAGTCAATGCAAGATATTTTTATAGTATTCGAGCTAATAAAGTTTCAAATTGTAGAGTTACTGAAACTCTTATAAAACCAAGATTTACCTGTACAGACGGTATAAAAGGGCATAAATGATTGATTAACGCGATGACAGTGAACTGCAAACTTCCAAAACCGGAATTAATTTCGCATGGGTGATAACAAAATTTTAACAAACGTATGCTCGAACATCGACACTAATATTTTCGTCCAATCAAAGACAATTCAGCGACAACACCCACACTGTTAGCATAGTTTAGCACCATTAAGGTCAAAGGTAAAGAATTCGAAACTATATCAAGGATTAACGTTTGACTGTTGTAATCAAATTGGATAACGAATAGAATGAACGGTCCGCTTTTATGGGAATTACCACATTTAATTATCGTAAATCGTAAATTGTAATCAATTCTGCTCCTACCAAGTATGAAATAACATAATTGTAATTAATTTTCTCTTAAATCTTTTTTTAAAAATGCATGAGATACACTTGTGTTACTTTTTTCATTGGGAATTAAAAATGATATCGAAATCTTGATTAAAATTAACGATTTATAATGAAATATGAACACAAATAAATATGTTCCACTAGCTATCAACAGAATATGTTACTCAAGGTATCGACGGAATGGTTAAACAATGGAACCATAATAGTAAACAATACCAATTTCTGCATTTAAGCGCTAATAAAGGATGCTCTCTTAATAAGAGTAAGAAGATATT